GTGGTTGTGTGCTTGTGGTTGTGTGTTTGTGGTTGTGTGTTTGTGATGGTGTGCTTCTGGTTGTGTGTTTGTGGTTGTGTGTTTGTGGTTGTGTGTTGTGGTTGTGTGTCTCTGGTTGTGTGTTTGTGGGTGTCTGTTTGTGGCTGTGTGTTTGTGGTTGTGTGTTTGTGGTTGTGTGTTTGTGGTTGTGTGCTGTGGTCGAGGTCCGGCAGGGAACGCTGGGCGCGGATGGTCGTGGTTGAGGTCCGGCAGGGAACACTGGGCGCGGACGGTCGTGGTTGAGGTCCGGCAGGGAACACTGGGCGTGGAAGGTCGTGGTTGAGGTCCGGCAGGGAACACTGGGTGTGGATGGTCGTGGTTGAGGTCTGGCAGGGAACAGTCGTGGTTGAGGTCCGACGGGGAACACTTGGGTCTGGGGCTCGCGGTTGAGGTCCGGCAGGGAACACTGGATGTGGATGGTCGTGGTTGAGGCCCGGCGGAGAAGGACGAGGAGGAGAAGAAGGAGAAGGAGAGCAGGAGAAGGAGAAGGAGAAGGAGAAGGAGAAGGAGAAGGAGAAGGAGAGAGATGGGGCTGTAAAAGCCGGCAACCATCACCTGAGCAGCTTGGGGAGGTCGTGGGAGCTGCACGTGGATGATTTCGAGGGCTGTGGAAGGAGTGGACTTTCTAGTCTTGAAAGTAAGGATTTCTAGAGAAGAGACAAGTAGAGATTCTTTGAGGAAAGTCTTGAGTAGAGACCCCGAGCGTTGAACGCATCCCAGTTCAGCCTGCATCAGCACATTATACTTATATACATCACCGCATTGCATTTCGTCCAGAACCGCGACAGCTACACTTCGCCAAGTGGCAAGCCAGCAGGTAGAGCATCTGGCCTCCACAGCGCATTTGCAAGGTGGTACCCCATTTACCCCATCGATCTAGTCGATCCATCAATCTATTTGTGTGCCTGCCTACCTATATACGTCTCCGGGTTTTTTCTCTATCTACCGGCCTACCTACCTCATTATCAATCTCTCATTTATTAGTGTCTCGGATTTTGTCTCTGTCGCTGTTTGTTGGTTTGTTTGCTTGCTTGCTTGCCTGCCTGCCTGGCTGGCTGTCTGTCTGTCTGTCTGTGTCTAGCTTTTTATCTACTGTATTTCAATAATGTCTGAGTGCCTAGTAAAGGGGAAGGAGTATGTCAGCTTGTTCTTGACACCCTCAAGAGAATCACACATAAGGTTAAACATGCGGGTACAATACTTGCTGCCACAGCCGTGACTTTGCCATTCTTTGGGAAAGGTGTTCAAGCATTTACATCATGGTGTGGGTGGGAGTGGGTGGGTGGGTGGGTGGGTGAGAATGATGGTGATGATGAAGATGAGCATGCGGATGACAAGTGACAAGGCGAGAGGGATGATGAGGGGAGAACAGATTAGGAGGCCGATGAGGCGACTGCAGGAGCATATATAGAAGATCCTAGGAGGTGCTGGGTTTTCATGATGCCGTGCGCGTGTTTCTTTATTGGTCGTAAGTTTTGTGTCAGTTTTTGCAGCTCTGCTTCTGACTTCAGGAAGAACTCATTCAACGACTGCATGGTTCTTTAGGCGGGGCGAACACACGAAACGAGAGCCACGCTCAGCTCTTCAGCTATGCCAGCTATGCTCAGGTCAGGTGAAAATGGCGGAGTCACGTTTCAAGAACTTCTTCAACTATGGAAATCCATCACGACCTCAGAGCCAGGCTCCGGCTTGTAGAAGTTGGTATGCATCGTTTGTTTCTTTGTTATTTGAATCATTTGGTTCAAGTAGCTGCATTCAGGCAAACAATCAGCAAGGGTCATCCCAGTCGTTTCCCAGCCAAATTTTAGAGGATACCTGCATCTCTTTTCAACAGATGGGCAAAACCTAATTCATTTGCTAAAAATCTGGGAGCCAGTTAAACAGGTCGTTTGCGAAGTTTTGTGGATGCCCTGGCACTTCGTGGTGGCTCCGAGTTTTTTTGAGGAAAACGGAGACCAAGTCTGGCTTTGGCGACTATGACCACGTGTGGGAGGCCAAAGCCGAGGAGAACCGACGAGCTTTCGCAGCAGGACGTCCTGATCCATGTTCAAAAGGGTGTTTAATAAACAACTAAGCAACATAACTTTTAAACGAACCACTTACCACATATTGGCAAAGACAAACAGCAACATACAGCAGTTTTACGAACGAAAGACAGTGGATTGAAGTGGTTTGATTCAGCTGGAAGCTGCTTGAAACCGCAGGGAACCGCAACCATGCTGGCATGCCCACCGGTCAACGGCGACATGCTGGGCCTGGACCTCCTCCTGGCAACCAAGGGGTCGGTGGCGCAAAGAGGCTTGAGTCGTGGAATATTTTTGAGGGTAGTCTGAATGAGTTTGCTTGCTGGAAGTCTGGGTGATTGGGCAGTGCAAAATGAACATTTGCTTGCAACATCAGCTACAAAACGGCCTCAGGCCATCTGCGGCTCCGCAAAGCTCTCCCATTGAGAGATACTTTCGTTCTTTGGGCTTGCCAAAGACAGCAACTCACGACGAAGTTCGCAAGGCACGAGTCTGCGCGAAGTAGGTGTGCGCGGCGCGAGTCGGTAAAGGCAACATCCACCACACGAGTTTTTTTGTTTGACAAAAACAAAAGACGTATCTTCTGTTCAATAACCTTGGCAAGTGCAAACTGGACATTGGATTATATATGCAAGTGCACGGTAGCGGCCTCCGTTTTCCTACACTGGAGCGGGGGGTCCTTGAGCCCGGGGAGAACCGGGACGAGTTCCTACGGTGTTCGTGAACAGAAATTGCATGCCCGGGTCTGTACAACCTCGGTGTAAAGAAAATCAGAAGCCTGGGCTTTCCGCATCTTGGATCCGGGATTCATTCCAGAACGGATTTCCCCATACCAATCCGCTTTCGTCCCGAAAACATATTTTGGTCGTCCACGATCCTCCAAACCTGGCCCATTTGAACAAAACGTCCCACTTGAACGTCCTCCCCCTTTTTGGTAAGAGAGTTGGCCAACATGGCCTGGGAACTCACCCAATGAACGCGCAACTTTGTTCGCGCTTGGGATTCTTTGATGGTCAAAAGCTCCAGGTCCACTCGCCTTTGAGCACCTTTGGGGGGGTGATGTAAGGCTTCTCAACCCTGTCATAGACATTTCTACTGTCCGTGATAAGCACCCCTCCAACCCGACTCACATGGTTGTCGATGCCATGGATGTCCACATCATGTCCCATGATTTCACCCCATTGAAATCTCAACATGTGGAGGATATCCTCGCCGTCGATGAAAGCGCGCGCTTCCGACGAACCTGGTGACCGACACACCCGATCGATTTTACCGCTCTGCCAAAGCCACGGAGACACACGATCGATCTCCCCCGATTCGAGTTTGCCCCCTGACATCCCGACCAGGATGCCTTTCGTGCTGCTTCCGTCATGTCTGTTCTGGTTGCTGGCGTCAGTCCAGCAGTACAACTGCGGGTTTCCATGTTCTTCAAAAGGAAAGATCTTCATGGGTTCATGAGACACAGTTCGAATTTTTCGCAACAACACATCTAACAACAGCCAGCCTTTGATCACGTCCGGGAGGATCTCGATGAAGTCCTCTTCATCGTCCTCCTCATCGGCCGTTGTCGCTGTTGAGGCTCCCAACTGTGGGGGGCGGTCCACGCCTCTGACTGCCACCAGTTGGTGTACCACCACCACCATGTCTCATCTTCTTCCCAAGTGGGATCTTCTTCTTCTGCTTGGTTCTCGGCGGTCTCTGTCGGGGTGAGGCCGCCTGATTCGGAGGCCGCGGCCGATGCTCGATCACTGGACCCCCCGATTCGTGATGACCGAGCAGCTGCACGCTCTGGAATGGGCTCCATTGACACTTGGCAGTTCCGTCGTCCGGAGTGCCAGGCTTGAGGTCCTTGTTGCCCGAGTTGGCGTTGTTCTCTCATCACTCGGGTCAGGGCTTTGCAGGTGCGGGCGTACTCTTCTTGATGCCGCGCACAAGCCTCCTCGACGACGGCGGAGGACCTTGAAGTAGGCCCTGAGCTGGTTGGCAATCTCTGGGAGAGCGGGTTCCGACATCGCTTCTTTCAAACATTTCATGAGCTTCTCGATTCCGTCTTCTCGAGAGCCAACCTCGCTTCTTGTTGCTGATAGCCGCCTTCGCGGCTCCTGAGAGTTCAGCTGCCAGCCAGGGACCGCAGAGGTAGCGGTTCTCCCATTTCACTGTTTCTTCATACAGGTAGGCTGCCTTCCTGTACTCAGTCCAGGACGCTGGATTGCCGTCCCAGGAGGGGATGTTGTCCTTGCCTTTGGTCACGGTCATGGCTCAGGGGCTACCTCTACAAAACTCACCCAAAAGGAAATCCGATTCGGATGCCCTGGATCTAAGGCTTCGTTGCTCTTTTGGCTTGGAAACCTCACACCTATCTAATGGAGCTAGATGTGAGGCTCCGCTACCATGCAAGTGCACGGTAGGTCCTTGAGCCCGGAGAGAACCGGGACGAGTTCCTACGGTGTTCGTGAACAGAAATTGCAATATACATATATATATATATTACTGTATATATATAATATATATCACAATTATATACATATTTATCATCGTGTGTGTGTGTATTTGTTTCTCACTTGTCTATTACTTGTCTACTGTAACCGTTTTGTGATCACTCAGATCAGACCTGGAGCTCTTTTTTATATATTGTCCTTGTTATCTCCCTGACAGGCTTATCGCAAACTTGCTTTGCAGCACCATCCCGACAAGAACCCCGGCCAGACCCTTGCGGCATTGGACATTCTGCCAGTCACTTTTGGATAATGAAACTCATTGCGTGCAGCTCCTTTTGGGTAATTCGCGAAGCTCTTTTGCTTCGCAAAGCTCTAAGGAAAAAGGCGGCTGCAGAGATCAAGTTTCGCGAGGTCGCCGAAGCCTACGACAAAGTGTGCGAGTACTTGAGGCAGAAATCCTAAGGAGTAGCCACGTTCTCGCGTGGCACGCACCACGCAGAGCAGCCGTATTCCAGAGATCGCCGACTTGAAGGAGTGGACCGTCGTTTTTGGCTGAAAGAGACTTCTGACTCAACACAGCTGACCCATCACTTCAGTGACCCAACAGTGACCCAACCGAAAGCGGCCGAGTTTCGCCGACAGTGAAGCTAGTCGGTGAGTGTGTGAAGCGCGAGCGCTCGCCCGATGCTTGTGTGCCCAGCGTGGATGGTTTTCTCAGTGTAAAAAGAGAGGAAGATCTGTGTTGAGCCGGGAGATTTATTTCATTTTTTTGCATGGGTTTGCACTTGCTTGCGGTTTTGTTTGCGCGATTTGGGAGACGTTGGGCAATGGGCCTCCGCTCGCATTCACCTGGCTTCGGTCAGCTCGTGTTCGATCCCAAGCTCGTTGTGGCTCTCAAGGAGGCCGTCCAGGCACCACGTAGCGTCAACGATGTTTCGCATGGCTGTCTTCTGACCTCCATGGCACAAATGCAGAGCTGTCATTTTGCTTTGCCCTAATTCTGAAGGTTCCATGGCAGGAGGGAAGACACATGGAGAAACGAAATCACAGACATCAAATCGCCAAAGCAGCTTGAGTGTTGGAGCATCAAGCTCCATACATCCAGAACGGAGGTGTTGTGCTCCGGGGTTCAACGGACCAGTTCAGGCCCCGGTTCGGGGGCCCATTTTCCACATCGTTGTTGGGTCATCAGACGTTTTTTGGAGTTTCCGTTTTTTTTTTTGTCAACAGGTGTCCCTTTTCTGGTTTCCCTTGACTTGGAAGGCCCATTGCCTTCCACTTCAACACATTGCTCCACCAAGCACAACAATTTCGAGATTTTGAAGTGCCATGTAGTTCTGTTGAGACAATTCAATGGAGCAAATTAGCTCAGCAGCCTGGTGCCGTCTTTGACCTGGCCATGTCAATGTTGCTGGGTGCTGCTGCCTGGCTAGCCTGGCTCTAAGGGTGGAATATGATCGAGTGGGTGCATATCTTGGGAGAACATATTCAATCGCCTACAAAACATCTTAAGGCTGCATAACACGCTTGAAGGATCAGCCTGTGCCGTGTTCATTCAAGGGTTCAACACTTCCTTTGAGCAAGGGGCATCCTTGGTGGACCTTTGTTTTGCTTGTCAACATGCACCAATCTTATGAAGGAACAGTTTCCTTTGACCATTTCTTAGGGGGCTTTCCAAAGTCGCCACCAAAGCGGGTGTATCCACTTTGTGCGACGACGTAGACCGTAAATGTAATGCTTGGATCCTGGTGTTTCCGGCACCAGCACCAGCTTGAAGAAGCTTCACAGGTAAGCCTGACTTTGAGAGCATCTACTCTCAATCATACGCAAATACTACATATCATGGAGGCAAGCAGTTTCGAAAGACCTTCGGACAGTTTCCACCTTTGTTTCGGAAACAGGTATATACATGTTGCACAACAATGTTGGCGAAGGTCACGGACAGGACACACTGAGGACTCACTTGCGGTCTGAGAGCTGAACTTTGGCGGCTGGATGTCGTGCCGTTGTGTTGCATGCTGCTGTGTCGTGCTCGTGCTGTCCTGTGCAGAGACGTCAGCAGTTGGCTGTGAGGAGGATGCTGTAGAGCTCTTGCAAGACTCACATCACGAGAAGGGCTTCTTGTTTTTGGAGGCCTATCCAAACCAGTATGTCGCCCAAAGGCTGCACACGGGCCAATCAGTGCAAATTGATGGCAATCTCAACGAGACTGTTTGGGAAGAGGTTCCCTTCACAGATTCTGCCTTCAAGGATATTGCGCAACCTCGCTTTCCAAGTTATGTGCTGCCCTCTCAATACGCCACTCAAGTCAAAGTGCGCTGGGATGCAGAATACTTGTACGTTGGAGCTTTCATTGGTGAGCCTTGGGTTGAAACGGGCTTCGTACGAGGATCAAATCCCTCGTTGACCAGCAGCAACCCCATTTACAACAGCAATGTCCCCTACTACGACAATGACTTCGAGGTTTTTGTGGACGTGGCGGGCAGCAACCATTGGTACAAGGACTTCCGGTTTCGAACTCTTCGGAGAGCTCCCTCAATCCCAAATTCTGATCTATCAAACACGAGCCTAACAATCAAGATTGAAAGCTCTACTCTCCCCAGCCACGTTCCATGGGCGTGGATGGTACCCCCTCTTCGGTAGTTGCAAGATGGTCTTCCCGGGACCTATGCCATCCACTCTCATGATGGTTTCAGGGTATTTTTTCATGTGGAGACTGAGATTCTTCAGAAAGGAGTTCGAGATGAATTTCAACAATGCCACCTATGATGTCCTATGGCGTGTGCCAGACGGCGGTTTGGGATCAACTGGAGTTCCCTGCTGTGCCATCACTGATTCCTCCTGCAAAAGGTGCGCGGTTCCCGGGGGTTGATGGGAAGCGAGGTCGAAAAGTGGTTGAAGTAGCAGATGACTTGGCGTATTCCCAACGGTTCATTCTACCAAGAGTAGCATTCCAAGAGTCGTTTCATTGCAGACAAACTGCACGACCAAGGGGAACTGTCATTACACCAGTTTCCAATCAAAAACCAATTAAAGGTCTTTTTCATTCTTGGTGTACTAGGACGCAATTAGGTAGAGGCCATCACAAGTAGCTTGGAGGCCATCGCTACTATATACTAACAAGAAGCGACTAGAACGTCACAAGTCCGTACACCAAGAATGAAAAAGGTACTGCCAGGTACTTGTGCTCCAGGTACTGCCACTCCATCCTTTGTGCTCCAGGTACTGCCAGAACTCCTCCTGGCCGCCCTTCGGTGGGACCTGGTCGATGGTTCCCCACATGAAGACGGCGACCGCCCGGGCGGACACCGCTCACGGCTGGGCCACTAAGGGCTGGACGGTGGAGATGGCCTTTCCACTGCGCCCAAAGGATGGCATCGGCGGCTTGCTCTCGGCAGGCGACGGGTGGCTGTGCTGTTTCTGTGAAGGCACTTCCATGAGTTGGTCAGTTCTGCTTATCGGGATGTTCACCACATCCTGTGCAGTGGGAAAGTCTAGCATGGTCGAGATTGTTGGAGCACCCGACGTCTTGAAAGTGGAACGACTGCGCATGGCAGATGGACCACCTGTCCGAATTGCCCGCAAAAAACCTAAGGAATCGGACCTGGGAGTCCCTTTTCATAGATATCCCCTCATTGTTTTGTAAGATGTCCGACCTTGGAACACCAGTTCCGTTGCAGGTCATGGCGCATCGCTGGGGGAGAAGTTTGACCCAAGTCATGGCGCCAAGTATTGGTTGGTGGACTTTTCGCGTGCAGAGCATCCCTTCTTCACGTCCAACTCCTCCCTCTTTGGACAGCTTTGTCCCTCAATCCAGGCATCTCAACCCACCTTACTGGGCAGCGACCAATGGAGCTGTTACTGGGAATGGGTGTGGCAGCCGGTGGGCGGGCACCGCTACATGCACAACCCAGACACCTTCGGTTTTCTACAGTTCGCCCAGGAACGGGGAGAAGCACTTTGTGGGAATGTGGAATGGCCTGCGAGATATGTCCTGGCTCAGATCTATCAAGCTGAAATAGCCTATGTTCAAACATGGGGCAACTACACTGAGAATCTCTGGACCCTGCTGCGGGGCTATTGCACTTTGGACAATGGCTGTTCGGCTCAGAGCCTCTCCAAGGTTGGTAGCATCTACTCACACATCTTCAATCTGAAGATCCAGGCGAGGTCTCTTGAAACCCCAAACGAGCGGTGTGTGCATCATTAAATGCTTCCGATGGGCTTGGGGTACCCAAACTCGCCAAGAGAATAAGTATAGTGTATAAATACATACTGAGTGACCTCTATTTTTTGGACCACCAACCAGCCGAAATATGGTCCTTTCCTGCCCAAAACAGGGGTAACATGGGCTCTAGGTATATAGTACACACACACACACACATATATATATATATAATATATATATATATATTTATGCACAAAAATGAAGCATTGAGGCTGTTGGAAGACGTCTTTACTCTTGAACTCTCGTTTCCGGCCTCCATGTGTGAGTCTCAGACGTCCCTGCCCCCCCCATATGCCCCTGTCACCCCCTCCCTTCTCACCGTGCTTCTCTGGACCGGTTTGGATTCTGCCGCCGCCCAGGTGGACGCGTCGGCCACCACCTGCGTGCGCTATGCGGTCAATGGCTCCGGCACCAACTACACGGGCGGCCCGTGCTTCGTGGCCTCGGTGGAGATCGTGTGGCCCAAGTGGACGAGGCTTCATTCGCAGGTGAAAGGCTCCATCCGCGAGGAGCCGAAGAAACGAAGAAATGGAAGACAGGATCGAAGACTGAATCGTCATTGGTCATTTCGGGTGTCTGTGTTTTCGCCTTTTTTCTTTCGGCGTCAACTGGGGGAAGGTTCGGGGCATCTGAATTTCTTGGCTGAGTTCAGGGGTGAAATGGAACATGGACGGGTCGAAGCTCATAGGTGGTCAACTGGATGGGTCGAATACGCTTGACCTATTTGGTTGGCTTCTCACGCTAGAGCTAAGCGAAGACCTGAACCCTGGAAGTTCAAGACCATTTTTAAGATGGTCGATCTGGCTTTGTAAAATCCTTAGTAAAACAATGGTTGTTCGTCAAAGGCTTTCAAATAGATGGTGGGCCCGGACTTCGGTGAAGCTTCCGTCTGTCTCACGGATCTTTTGACTCGCGTATCTCGCGTGCTCCAATTCGTGGGAAGAGCCGAAGCATGTTCAGTATCCGTCAGTCCGTCAGATGGTGCGCCAGCCTTTACCACAGCCTCCCTCCCGACTGGACCCCTTCCGTTTCGAAGAAAGGAAGCCATATGGTGTCCCCCCCCACCGAACGCGCCCAACTCCATTTGGAGTTTCCACCACCCATTCCCAAAACGGAACCAGAGCACCATTCACCGGATGGATCCGGCTATGGCCTGTGCGCGGCCGGCAGGATCGGCTCCTGGAGATGGACGTGTCGGGCGGAGCAGAGTGTTTGCCCATGTGAGGAGGGTGGGTTGGAGGACTCTTCGAGGGAGAGCGTCTCATGGGAGACCCTCCCCAACCCTGTGTATTTGGAGTATTTTTTGGATGTACACTTTTTCTGGGACTAACATGGTTACGTGAAAGACCATTTTCCTCTACAAACAAGTGGTTTTCCAATGATTATTCTGTGGAAGTGTAATGGGCTCTCTGTGAAGAAGTCCGAGGCTTTCTGGGCATCCATGGTGTTTGCCTAATCTTTTGCTGGCCTGAAGGGCCACTCAGACAGAGGTGGCGTCTCACAGGTTTTGAAAATCTGCTGAACACTGGACAACGTGGGTGATGGACAGGCAGCAACCGTGGGCATTTTCTTTCCTCACCTTTCCTCACTTCACATGCACACTGCACTTGTTTTTGTGACGAGTGGACAATGCTTTGGGATGACGGAAAGCGGGCCATCGGGATGTGAAACACCTGGGTTGAAATCGGGCCGCCACGACGGGCTGCCATGCGGATGTTGATGTTCTAACGACTGGCGGATTTGGCCCGTGGTGAAGGGAGCCGGGTCAAGAAGCATGTCCCAGTTTTGGCTTCCCAACTCCGAAATTCTCAATCGGCAGAGGTAGACTGAGCAGATGTTGTCTGATTTTGCGTAGACTTAGTGGATCGTGACTGAAACTATTGAGGGATGTGAGGGGCAACCTCCTGTACCTTCTGTAGACTCCTATTTTTTTCCACTTACAAGCTTGGATGTGGTTGCAGCGCATTCTATAGAGTCACTAGTGTGTTGTCGAACTGGACCATCCCGTGACCCAAATTGGACATCATGCCTTTGGTGGCCGAAGTTGACCATCGGCAAGGCAGTGATGACCCGGATTTGAAGAGAGTTGGATGTCCAGATGTAGAAGACCCTTTCCAACCAACAGCAAGAGACGGTCGAGGTGATTTGGTTATGACCAGTGAGACGGTCCGCGGTTCTCATGGTGCTCAAATACCAAGGTAGCCGGTCTTTTCACAGGTCTCCGGTGGTCGAGACCAGCGGATCCGACTCTGTCCGTTCTGCGGACGTCCGATGGACGGTTCTGATGGGAAGGGGGGAAGAAAGATCCATCCAGCGAGTCTCTGGGAAGCACTTCCATCCCCCCTTTTTTTTCGCTGTCAGGCGCCTGTCTGGCGGTCAATGGCGGCGAGATTTGGTGCACTCATGGGAGACCCACTTGGCCAGGCGTGGCCACCGACCCCCCTGGGTGACCGGGAGATTGGGCGACTGGACTGGTCGTCTATCCAGCCGAAAAAGAGGATCTCGTGGGGGGATCTCCTGGATTCGAAATGTCACATTACACACTCATGTGTTGAAGTCGAGTTCACGCGACATCTCTATATACAAGAACCCCTTACGAAACTCCCGGGCCCACTCGCGAGGTTCGGGTGGCCAGGTCGGAACCATGGTAGTGACAACCTGTGGCTCACCACAGCAAACGTGGACGGAGTGAAAAGCATGCCTGACTGGCAACTTTGACAAATAGCAGACCACCCTCAGTGGAATCGCCGGCGACATGGCGACATGGCTATTTTAGGGTGTTCGACGGGTCGCGCTGAGTGTCATCGGGGCTGCCTTGGCGCCCATGCAGATCCAGTTCCTAGTTTCCCGCAGAGAAGGCCTAGTCTAGGTTCAACCAAACCAACCAAACCAACCAAACCAACCAAACCAACCCAAGCCACCAACTACTATATAACCAGCCAACCAATCAACCAACCAATGAACCGACCCCAGATCCCAACACGTGTTGTTTCACTGCCGACCGCCGCCTTCGGACGCGGTCGGACCGTGGGTCTGCCATGTTGCATTCTCTGTGGCTCGTGCTCGCGAGTTGCCTCCTAGTTGCCTACTGTGCGAAGCGGCGTGACGACAACGAAACGCTTTTCCTGTCACTCCTCGAATTGGGTGTGAAAGAAGATGACGCGGCCCGGATGGCCCAGGAGCCTTGCCAGTCCAAGGGGTTCTTTTGTGATGAAGAGGAGATCGTTGGGCTGGTGATGACCGGTTGGAAACTGGGGGGTCGAATTCCTAAAGGATTGAGACACCTGTCGAGATTGGAAGGCATTTTCCTGGAGCGGAATCATCTCCAGGGCGGAATCCCCGCAGAGCTGAGCGAATTGATGTTCCTGCGCTTCCTGATCTTGTCCGAAAACCAGCTGTCTGGGGCCATCCCCACAGAGCTTCAAGCTTTGAAGAATCTGCGCAAGCTCGACCTCTTCAAGAACCAGCTGACGGGTCCCATCCCACCCGAACTTGGCACTTTGTCGGAGCTTCAAGTCTGCATGCTGTCGGAGAACCAGCTGACCGGCACCATTCCCAAGGAGCGGGGGCTGTCGGAGCTGAAACGGCCGTCGCCGTCCTTCGGAAAGTGGTGGTGAAATAGCTCCCCCGAAAAATAGACCCAATCACCGAGCATGTTCAATTTGGGGTCATTTTTTCCATACAAAGCCGTTTCTTTGGGGGACTTGAAGCGAAGATCACTTGCCCCATATGTCCTCTCTGTTGAAAGCTGGGAAACACTGGACAGTCGCCCGGACATTCGCGCTCTTCAGGAGTTTTGCCAGCTTCATGGCTTGCACACGCTTGACCTTTCTCAGAACCCGCTCAGTGGAGAGATTCCCAAGGAGCTTGGGAAGCTCGAGGCGATGGAAAGGCTTTACATTTCTGGAACTCACATTTCTGGCCCAATCCCGAGAGAGCTAAGCCAGATGCACTCTTTGATCTATCTTTTTCTGCCTGACAATGACCTCGAGGGCCCGATGCCCGGGGAGTTAGGCCGACTGCAGCTGCTTCAAGAGCTGCATTTGTCACAGAATCGACTTTCGGGCGCAATCCCCAAAGAGCTTGGGCAGATGGAAACTCTACAAAAGCTGGAGCTGTCGGCGAATCAGTTGGAGGGCGAAATCCCTAAAGAGCTGGGCCAGTTGAAGAGCTTGCGAATGCTGAGCCTTGCCCAGAATCGGCTCCAGGGACGAATTCCACAAGAGTTGGAGCAGCTTCGCTTTTTGCAAGAGCTCATCCTTTCAAAGAACGAGCTTCAAGGAAGCAGCGAAGAGATTGCGTCCATCTTGCAGTCCATGCGTCTAGAGGTCCTGGATCTCGGCCATAACTCTTTCGCTGGAGAGCTGAACGAATGGAGAGCTGAAGTCGTTCAAGAGCTCCAACTCTTAGATTTGAGCCATAACAAGTTTTTCGGAAACCTCTCCAGATTTGTCGAGATCTTTTGCAGCCTAAGCCCACCTGGTGGCTCCCTGCTCGAACTTCGCCTCAACCACAATCGCTTCACAGGTGAAATGCCACCATGCTTGATGCAATTCAGCAACTTGAACTTTCTCGCGCTGAACAACAATCGTTTGCGTGGCTCACTTCCTCCAATCCATGCTTCTGAGCTTGTGGTACTGGCCTTGCACAAGAACAAGTTGTCAGGAGTGCTTCCAGAGAGTTTGCATCATCTCAAGCGCCTTGGCGTGCTCACGCTCCACGAGAACTCCATTGGGGGTCCCATCTCAGGACTTAATTTGAGCACCGCATGTATGGACAACTCCAAATTCCGGATTGAAGGGATGGGTTGTGTAAGGCTGAGAGCACTGGTGGAGGAGAAGGGCTTGAAGCTGCATCATATTGATCCACATGACCCCGTTCATCAGCTCAAGCAGATCTATGCCAACTGTCCCACTTTGATGGGTTGCGACCGAGCTGGTACCGCCAACCTGACCTTGCACAGGAACCGTTTCTCCTGTGCTGTTCCAAAGAGTCTGGGTTCCAGCAAGATCTCTGGCTTGGTCATCATGGGTAACATGCTGGGCTCTGGCAGAGAGCTGAATTTCTCTTGGATACGCCCCGAGGAGAAACAGTCCTTCCTTTACTATTCCAAAGAGGTTTGGACGTCCAACCAAGTGGTCATCGCTGGATTTGTGCTTTTATTCTTCTTTGGTGCGTTGTGTTACCAGCCACGGCAAAGGCTTGAGGCAAGCTCCCCTCATTTGAACTTTGGCACAGGTGCCCGAGTTGCTTCCGCCAACTTGGGTGTGTTGCCCGAGGAGTTCAAAAAACCTTTGTGTTTGTTTTGGTATGGCTGGCACGGGGTCGGACACCCCTCCCACTTACGGGCAAAAAGAGAGGTTCGATTTTTCTGCCACTTGGTGTTTGGTCCTGAAACCCTTGGAATCAGAGGGCTGCCTTTGAAGTGTTTTTACTGTTTTAGCACGGGGCATGCCGTCTTAAGGGAAGCAAGCGCATGCCAACGAAGCTGTGCGTATAATGGTGGAAGCCAGGTCTGATCAACCTGGTGTACCTGCAAGTTGTGATATTTTGTATACAACCACGTTCCCCTTCTAGAGTCTTGGAGGCTGTTTCAGGATGACGAGGTCGTTTTGCTGTAAAGGGCTAATGAGTGCTTTGGAGGTTTTCATGGAGGTATCAACTTACCTGAACCCTTAGGCAGTCATACCTGGGTGGGCGTGTGGCATGAGGCATTCAGTTCCGTACACACTTCCCAAGTGTGTGTGTGTGTGTGTGTGCGTGCGACAGGCTTCTGGCTATTCCGATGTTAATTTAATGTTTGTTTCCCAGGACATCTATTCTTTACAGCACTGATTGGCCTGATCGTACAAATCTGAGGTTGAAAAGCGCTCGTATCACCACTCTGCTGGCTCTCCCACTGCTTTTATTATTCTGGGCGAGTGGCAACTACTACGAGTGCAGCCCACTTTTGTGGCAAAGCACTGCGGCCAACTCTTCAGTCGAGCCTTTGGCCGGGCTGGGTGTGATCAGCTGTTGGTGTACAATGCTCTTCCTCTTCCGGACGCTCTTCGCCAGCATGCCCATGCGTCAGAAAGAGAGGCAACGGAGATCCACCCGCCACGGATGTGTGTGGAGAATTCGTCGACTTTTGGCCTGGGGTTGTTGGGTGTGCATTGTGACGGCTCTTTCCTTGCCATCCATTCTCTTTTCATGTGCCCAGTCCTTGCCCGGAAATGGACACAGGGACACATCAGGCAGTGATTTCATGTTCAAACTTGTGTATCATGCTACACCGCTCTTGATTGTTGTGATCGATGTGGTCTTGGCAGCAAAGCTCTCGACCAAGTACTGCGATTTCTCTGGAATAAAAGCAGACAGATTGTTGATGACTTTTCGTTTGTTTGCCGCGTGGCTCCTGCCGTTGCTCATCACGGTGGTGCTGGATGAAAACTGCCTTTCGGTCTGGAAGATGACTTGGTCTGTTTGCCAACCAGGATCCCCAGAGCACAAGTACTTCGATTGGAATATCTATGAGGAAGAAATCCTTGACACTGACAGGGACATCTGCACCTTGAGCCAATCTTGGTGGTCTGATGGCCGCTGCAGCCGTGCCATTGTAGGGAATTTAACCTCCTTGCTGCTACAAAAACTGCTTGTACGTAGCACACTGTACCCATTGGCCTTGTGGCTGACGTGGCAAGGTTCACGCTTAGAGGAAGCAGGAACCGAATGCCATTCTGGACGTCATCTGAAGCTGTTTGGGTTTAACACTACGAACGCTTTGGCACCATTGCAGCAGATGTCCTTTCTAACCACGCAGTTTGAACTCTTAGCTTTTTGGACCCCCTTGGTGCCCCTACTAAGCTTCGGCGTCCTGGGTGTGGCCTCCGCGAACCTGTTGATTTTGGATTTGGCACTCTGGAGCTTCAGGATCCAGCTCCCTTCCAACGAAGTAAACCAGCTGGCAGCCTTGTCCAGGTCATACTTGAGTTTTGCACATAGTGCTGGCTGTTGCTTCCAGCTCTGGCATGCTTTTGGTTCCCAAATGTATGGACGCTACATCTTGCTGATCTTCAGCATTGCAGTGATGAACCCCTGGGCGACACGATTCTTGCCCTTAAAAGCGGCTAGGCGCTATTTCTGGGCAGAGGTGGAGAAAGCCAGCCAGACGGAGTTCATTGAGATGGCTGTGCAGATGGATGAACCAGCTGGCTCGGTCCACTTTTAGATGCGGCTGTGCGAAAATGGGCGTCTAAAGTCGCTTAACACGATCGGTCCAGGCGTCCCTGCCATTTGCTTGCCCTTGCGGTTGGACGACTCATTGCCAGGCGATGCGGAAGTAGCGAAAGGTCAAGTGGCGGCCTTAGTATCCTTGTCCTGGGGGTGGCTTCAGAATCGGCTGTTGTCCAACAGTGCCTGATGCCCTTCTTGCTTTTTGAAAGGTGCTTTAAAGGTCTCTTTTGTTGAAGAACGCATCGTGGTGCTCCGACGCGTCGGCTCTGCAGTCGACGATCCAATCGCTTGATTGATCCAAAGACGGAATTTCTCATGCCATTGATTCTAAAGCAGAGTCAAAATAGACAGAATTGTGTGTGTATATATAATATGTAAATAAACACAACATTTAGACAAACAAATACACACACATATATATATAATTATATATATATATACATAGATACATATATATATATATACGTGGCAAAAAGTCTATGGCTAAAATATCTGGTTGCTGCCATCCACCTACTGATTTCGGATCCGCGGCCACCGAGATTCTCGTTTTGCCCCGCGTCTGACGCGGTGGTTTTCACTGGAAGAGGCGGTGGGTGTGGACCGAGTCGGTGGGTGTGGGTGCCACATCTCCTACACATTCACAGGATGACTCAGACGCAACTTCTCAAACTTGTTTATTTTTTGTTCAAAGGAATTTCTACTGCTTCACAACAGTCACATGCTCTCCTTTGGCGGGGTCCGCTGTCCGCAGGGGGGCGAGTAACGGTGACGCAGTGATCCGAAGAAAGCGCCGCGGCAGCGTCCGTCGCAGCGAACGACGCGGATGCGTCGATGCGCTCGGCCAGGATGTCCGCTGAGAAGCCGTGAAGCCCGGAGGCGCAGCCGGACGTGAAGAAAGCAGGAGACGAAGCGCGCCAGCATCGGTTGAAAAGCCGATTTGATGGAGTGTGTTCGAGGCTTCTCCTGCATTCTGAATCTTCCGCTTCAAAAGCAATTCCCAAGAGCAGAATGCAGGGTTTCAATCGATGGGAGTGGTCCACAGTTTGCCTCCGGTGCCCCGCAGATATTCCGCAAGCTCCCTGCGGAATCCACGCAACATGACTGCCCAGCCAGTTTCAACCTTTTGGTGTGGTAAGTTCAAAAGCGTTGGAGGAAGACAATTGGTGTCTGCGCGCAGAGCGTTCTTTGTGCGCAGTACAAACGTGCTTTAATGCGTTCCAAGGCAACCAGACTGGTGTGTGCTCAGTAACACGCCTTTGTGGCTGCAATAGTTGTTGGGCGTGTGGTGTGTCTTCTGTCTCTGTTGCGAAGGATCCTTTTTACTTTCTACAGGGCAAGAAAAGGTTCGTGCGCAACAACGCTAGAGGCATTTGAGTGCATACCCAGCAACACGTTCAACATGCTTCTGTGTTTGGAACAACTTTTGAACTTCTGATGTGCTTTCTGTCTCCGATGCAAACCACTCCTGCTACGCAGCAAAAAACAATATATGGGCAACAACGTGGCAGGATTTTTGCGCGTACCTAGCAACGCGCTTTTGCACGGGCGACAGCATTTCTGCAGTTCTGATGTGCTTGCTGTCTTCCTGCTTCCCAACTCATGCCTTCCAGTTCTTGCTCCCCGCTCCGTTTGCACTTGGCAAACTGATTCGGATCTGGTTTGAAAGCTAGCTAGCCACAGCCCAAAACACATAGCTATACTGCACTGATTGACTATTCTCAGTCACTTGAGTTGCTACCTGCTGGGTTGCAAAGCTGGGTTAATGAGGGTTTTCCAGGCGACTGACTGAAGTTGTACTTGCAAAGCACGCTAGCAGACAATTCCAAGTTCCCGTTTCTTTGGAATTCGATCCAAGTCCTGTGACGTTTTTCAAACCCGCTGAGTCATTGAAGCAACTTGAAATCTCCTTGGTGATGCCATCAGTGTTGCAAAATCAGCTGTGCAGCAGCTTCTTGTCAGGCTCAAAGTGAAGTTCTCACAACCGCTCACAACAAGCTCGCAGCATCTTGCGACGCTCCTTTTTATCTCAGCGGCATGGGCTGTGGTGCATCCAGCGGGCCCGCGCCTGTCGCGCCGGTCGCGCCGGCGCCGCCGGCGGAGGCCGATCTTGGAATTTCACCCGCGAGGATCGAAGCTGCGAGCCAAGGAGATGAAATTGCCCAGGATGGAGATGAAGTGTCGACACAACTGCTCGGTGTGGTGTGAAGAACGTGTCAAGTCACCTGATTTTAAGTGTTTCATGCGTATGCACCTTGTCACACATAAATCACTGGGTGGGTGGGGTGCAGCAGGATGACTTCTTCAGACAGCTGTTTCGCTTCTCAGAAAACGGAGATGAACAAAAGCTGTGTGATCTACTGAACGCGTGGCCTGCGTCTGTGAAACAGCGTGGGGCTTGGGAGACTTTGAAGACTTTGAGCATTGTTCTTTGATCTATAGGGCCATAGGTCTTCGTTTTCTTTGGTAGTCGGGGAAACCTTTTAGTTTCGGTCATCGGTCATCTCATTTTGCCAAGTCTTTACTTGCTTGAAGCAGGTACGCAAGACACTTGGGCACCACATGGTTCCGGGGAGAACGACCGAAAGCAGCCCACCTTGCCCCAAAGCCGGCCCCAGACTGTCACGGGCCCCAGCCGTCCGCGCTGAGGAGACCAGCGTCAACGCCGCGCGCTTTCAGCAGACCCGGGTCTTGCAGAACATGTTGGACTTGGGCGTCGATCCTCCGATCGGCGAGGACGATGAGGAGGTCAATCCTTTGATCAAGGCACTCCAGCGCGGCTATTGGGACCCCTGGTTGTAAAGGCCGAGAAACCCGTGTCTCTTTTTTTGGGGGTCGGTCTGTCTCTGTTTTCTCCCGCAACGAGAGGAGGTCTTTTGGGTCCGATGTTAAGCTGGCCTAAAAAATCGCTGCTTCCGACAGGGAAGCTTGATCTTTCTGTCTCTGGCCCGTCGAGCAAAGAATGTAAGGACGTCGTTGGAGTGTTGGTGCCAAAGGCATTGCAACACGACTTCTCTACAAAGCTCCTTGAAGAATCTATGTTGGACTTCGTGGTGGCAGGTGACTATAACACGCTCAGGAGGTTCATGAAGTCCTTCCAGATTCCAGGCACTTCCTTTTCTTTTTTTTAAAGGAACAGGTTCTGGAATGGAGGAAGCATGAGGAAGCAGTGTTGGTTCAATTCGGTTGATATCTTTTGTGCCAAGGCAGCGGCAAACTGCTTTGTGCCGCTTTGTTGCTGAGTCCTGACAATCTTGGCCCAATTGCAGACGAGATGGTTTCCATGATCGTGGAGCATATGGATGATTTCAACAAACCCAGCTCGTTCACGCCTGATGCTAAGAAGGTTAAGGTTGGATGGGAGAGCTTTTCGCCCATTCATGCTGCATGTCGGGCCAAAAAGACTTTCAACCGCAAGCTGATTCAATCCTTGATCGACAAAGAAGTGGTCCTCTCGGAATGGGGCACCGAGATGTTTGCGGAGACGAACTGGGGGGGGGAAAAGGCACAGCAAGACCTTTGCAAAGCGATTGCCCCTGCACTATGCAGCAGAAAACCATCATTCCTCCTTCAAGATCATTGAGCTCTTGGCGAAAGCCTACCCTGAGGCCATGTTCAAACATGTGGATGACAAGCCCGGAAGGAAACTTCCGTGCCAATGTATCAGGCCCAGTGACGAAGCGAAACAACAGCTGGAAGAGCTGATGTATGAGTACCCCTTTTTTGCTCAAGTTGATTTTTATGTTCCCTGTGGGTGAATCCAATTATTGTTTTTTGTTATTCATTACTACGAAAGCCAGCCGATAGGCTAGGCTTGAGCTTTTAGAGCGAACGAAGTGAGTTAAGGGGGTGTGGGGGGGGGAGGGTGCTGAGAGGCACATTTTGAGAGGGTGAACCCGGAGCTTAGTGGGGGAGAGCGCTCCAAAGCGAGGGTCAGAAAAGCAGTGAAAATGGGGTATGGTGATGCGAGTGATGCAATGGACGCCAAGTAGTGCGTCATTGGCATCATGAAGGGTTTTGGAGGCTATTTGGACAATGGGCATTGAGCACGAGCTCCCAGGACAACCCGTAACTCGCGAAATCCATAGAGAGCCGAAAGTGACATGAGTTCAACTCCATGAATTTGGAATGAATTTCGGCGGGGATGCCTGCGAGGTTGACTACATATCCGCATAGGGTTCCTGCCCCCTAGCAAAAACTGTACTTGCACCATGTCCTCGGTCGAGTGCATGCTTCTCGCAGCGTCCGCACGCACCGAACGTTTTTCCGGCTTGCCGGTGCGGATAGATAGATAGATAGATAGATAGGTAGATAGAAACTACATACATACATACATACATACATACATACATACATACATACATAC